ATTATGTCTCTGGCAAGCATTTTGTCGACTTCTGCTTGAATATGTGACGCTCGTTTGGAGATACGCGGTATGGCCGCCGATGGACAGGGGAGGCATCGCCAATGTTAATGCAGTGCTTTACAGCAGTGATTTGGCCAAGCGGACGATCGCAAAAGTCAAATACGTCGCAGTATGACTCAAGGACGTGAGGGAGTGCGTCAGCTTGATGCGGCAAAAGGTCTGGCGCGATCATTTTTTTAACATCAGCAGACAGGCCTGCTTGCGAAGATCGAGCATGCGTGTAGCTACAGTGTCCAGCATCGTTCGAAGATAGAGCTGAGAGGACGCATTCGTCAGAGGGATTCAGCATGGTGAGAGCAATTACACGTGGGAGCACTTGTAGACACAGAACAAAGTTGAGCACCGGAATGAAGACACGGTTGTCACGTAACTGAATAACAGTGTGTGGTAAGGTAACACTGTGAGTCAAAAGAATGGGTGTAATATACGTGAGCACATAGTAGCCATCAGATACAGGCGGTGAAGGCATTACGGTGATGCAGGTCACAGTTTGCGGTGACCAACGGACATGCTCAGCAGGGCACATACGAGCTTGGGTGGACTGGGCAGATCAATCGGACACGGTAGGTCAAGTTGAACAGCACCACCTGAACAGTCGATTAGGGCTGAATGAGTGGACAAAAAGTCAAGAACAAGGATCACATCATTGGTGCAGTGAGAACAGTGAAAAAAACTGAAGTTTGGCGGCCGGCGATAGTGACGCGTGCAGTACAGACGCCAATAACAGAAGCCGTACCACCATCAGCAACATGAACACTGCGTGAAGGGGCTGGAGTAAGGACTTTCTTCAAGCGGTTACGAATGTGCAAGCTCATTACAGAAATATGGGCGCCAGTGTCCAACAAGGCTTTAACAAATAAACCGCCCACTTCAACATCGATCAGGTTCTGATTGGTCGGCGGCGTCAACAGAGGAATCGAAGAGGAAGTCGTATCAGCAGCGTCACCTCCAGGAGCTGCAGCCATTAGTTTTCCGAGGAAAACCGCCGGGCAGAGGATGGGGACGGGAAACGGGGTGGCGGTGGAGACCGGACAAATCTACGTTGAGGTGAAGGTGAGCGACTGTTTTGGGCAGTGGTCATAGTGGTCGAGTCGTAGTTATCTGAGCCATCACGCCGCGGTAGTTCCTGGCCATAGAGATGGGCTGGTGAGTGGAGGTTGGAGAAGCTTGAGTTTGCCCAATACAGTGAGGTCCACGGGCTCGGGCAATGGCTTGAAATGTGTCCCACTCGTTCACATAGAAAGCAGATCGGCCTGTCGTCAGGCATCCTCCACACATTTGGGTCACGGTTACGCGGAGCAGGGCGACGATAATGCTGTGGGTGGCTGGAGGTAGATGAACTGACTGCGTCGAGACGGTGCACAGAACAGACCGTGTGAATACCCGTGTTGGCTAGTTCTTGGCGAACAACGGTCTGTATTAGCGATAAGGTCGGCTGAGGATCACTCGGTGATAGTGCTCTCAAGGGTGCGGGTGATATGGCCTCGATTTCGCGGCGTACGATTCTCGTGATGTCACTGGAGTGTGAATTGGACTGGGTCGCCATACGAAGATCCTTGCAAGTTGACGTCGCAGCAGTGTTGGTGAGGCGCGTAAAGGGGTGGGCAATGCGACGGCTTTTATTCTCTTGAAAGCGTTGGCACTACAAGATAACATCTTGCACGGTGTAACAGCCTTTGCACACAAGAAGGTTAAATGCATCGTCTGCGATGCCCTTGAGCATGTGCGCTACCTTGTCTGCTTCAGCCATAGTTCGGTCAATTTTACGGCCAAGGGTCAGCACATCTTGTATAAACGCCATGTAAGATTCTGTGGACGTCTGAACACGTGTGCCAAGTTGTTTCCTAGCGGCCTGCCTGAAGCCGGTAGATTGACCAAACAACTCGCGTAACTTGGTCTTGCATACGTTCCAGCTCGTGATCGCGTCCACGTTGTTATTAAACCCGGCCTTGGCCGTTCCTTGCAAATAAAAGATGATGTTTGCCAGCATCAAGGTTGGATCCCACCCGTGGATTTCGCTGACGAGCTCGTATAGTTTAAGCCACTCATTCACATCCTCGCCTTTCGTTCCCGAAAAGTTGCAGGGATCAAGGGGTGGAGCGGCCAAGAGAAAAAGAGGGGAGGTCGGCGCCGTTTATGCATTGGGCGCGGCAGTTGACGAAGCGTTGCTGCCGGCGGACATGTCGGAAGCAGCGACTAGGCGTCCGCTGCGTAACTCTGTCGTGCGTTGTAGCCCAGCACCTCCACCAAAATGTTACGTGAAGGGACACGCGATACTTGGCGTTTCAAGATATATTTACACTCCAAGCCAAAATAGAGAACAAGAGCTGAAGATGATGATCCTTCTTACCCTGGCGCATACCCACAATGGGGGCCTACACCAAAATCACGTCGTCTTTCTCCGCGCCTCTCTAACCGCTTTTGTGGGACTTGTCTCATATATATATATATATATGTATATATATAAAATTGACTATATATATATATATATATATATATATATATATATATTTATATATATATATATATATATATATAATTGTCTATATAGTATATACTATATATATATATAGTTTGCTGCTAACAATGTCCTATAGATGGAAGTGCGTCTACCTTCGTTATTAAAAAAATGCAAAATGCTTACGATTCAAACATTTTTGAAACTATACACTTTGTTTCAGAGAGATTTCTTTTATGCTTTTATTAAAAAGCCAAGCTTATCGTTTGAAACTCTGTGGTCGCGATTGCACTATCCACAGATTATGTTCGTTCAAGCGCTTTTAGAACCACTGAACGTCAAAATCAAACATATTGTATCAACAAGTAACTTTAGTTTAGACTTTCAGATAGAATTTCGCAATATATACCACCCTTATGCGAAGCAAATGCCATTTGAATATTTAAATGATCGGCTTCAAAATTACTTGGCACACGTGAACATCAACAACGTAATTTGAGATTGATTCATCCGTATCAAGTGAAAAGGCTGGGGCAGGTATCTTCTCAGGTACACTTGTCTGGTCCTTTTCGGTTAGACTTCCAGATTACACACCATTATTCATAGCAGAATTAATTGCTGTTGTGCTGGCACTACGGAAGCTTCCTTTGGGCGAATCAGAAGCAGTCGTAATTACAGATTCCTTTTCAGTATGTGCTGCTCTGTTTTCGGGAGCCAACTTAAAATTATGCTTAAAATTATGTTGGTGTATGTGTTGTCAGTGTGTCATTGACTGGAGAAGTATTTGTATCGGAATTTCTGGTTCTATCTCGTTGTTCGCACGATGTCATTCTTGGTATCGATTTTCTGGAGCAATGCGGTGCTTCCGTTGACTGTGGTAGTGGGGAAATATCACTAAACAATTTGTTTCTACCGTCGCTTTCCGAAGAAGACTACCGTGGCGAAGACAGGAACACACTTTGTGTGATTGATGAAGTGATAGCACTATCTTGGTGCCTGACACCCGTTCGAGTCTCTTCCACAGCGGTTGATGATGCTTGTGTTGACCTCGTAGTGGGGCCTCTGCGCAAGAACTGTTTTAAGAAGGACATACTTGTGCCTTGTTCTGTTGTGTGCATGACGAAAGGAGTAGCAACATTGTGGGCGCTGAACTGTTCTGCCACGCCGGTTGTGCTTCCTCGCGGGATGAAGATAGCTCTCTTTGATGAAGCCTCATGCAACTCGATAGCAGCAATAGCTACGGACCTCCCCCCCTCCTCCTCTGCTTGTAATATTCGCCATAATGAAGATCTAATGCTCGCTATGATCAGCAAGACTCTCAGTACGACGGAACGGCAAGCGCTGGTGCAGGTCCTTTCCCGGCATGTTGCTGCTTTCGACTTAAAACATAGAGATGCACCCTTTCAGTTACCCTCGTCCTGCGCTCGTCACAGAATAGACACTGGCTCTGCAAACCCCATCCGCCAAAAGCCCTACCGAGTGTCATCCTCTGAGCGCAAAGTTATCGCCGAACAAGTGAAGGACATGCTGAACAAAGGGGTCGTGCAAGAGTCGTCCAGCCCGTGGGCAGCTCCGGTAATTCTTGTCAGGAAAAAGGATGGTTCCTGGAGATTCGGCGTAGATTACAGGCGTCTAAACACTGTGACGAAGAAAGATGTATATCTCTTACCAAAAATTGATGACGTCATAGATTGCTTGCATGCCGCTTCCCATTTTTCAACGCTTGATTTGCGGTCAGGTTATTGGCAAATACCTATGGAACCCGGCGACAAAGAAAAGACTGCTTTCATAACTCCGGATGGCTTATTTGAGCCTAATGTCATGCCTTTTAGCCTTTGTAATGCTCCAGCCACCTTTGAAAGATTTATGGACACAGTATTACGTGGTCTAAAATGGGAGATATGCATGTGCTACCTTGACGATGTTGTGATCTTTGGCCGTACGTTTGAGGAACATAACAACCGTCTCAGTCTTGTTTTTGACTGCATCGAAAAAGCCGGGCTGGTTCTTCTGAATTCTAAAAAAATGTCGCTTTGGCGAACGTCAAACTCTCGTGCTGGGGCACTTGGTCGACAAGGATGGCGTTAGACCCGATCCTCGCAAGATAAAAGCAGTGAGCTCCCAGACAACGCTCCGACAACCTGAGGTTGTCCTGAGGATGACCTACACCGTACGAAAGTATGACCTGAGGAAGCCCTCAAATGAACCTCAAGTGGTCCTAAACCAGTCCGTTTGTCCGGCCTCAGATCGTCCTCAGGGCATCCAGAAAAGAGCACATTATGATGAGTCTAGTACTTTTTGAGGACGAAGCATACAAGACCTAGGCACTCATCAGACCTTACGAAAAGTTGCTCTAATTCTTCTTTTGGAGCGCTGAAATGACAACTGATCAATCAAAAGTGCCTGAACATGCACACTCTTTAAAGCACTGCCTGTGAGGTTTCAGTAACAATTTCTTCAAGTATAGCAATAAAAACAGCAATGCACAGAAAACATGTTTATTTTCAGGAATGAAACTTGGCAGTTTTCACTAGATGAGACTTCTTGCCCTGTGCCTTCAGAGGTCTTCATCCGATGGGCTTGACAACGCGACACTTTGAAGACATTCTGTAGTAATAGAAAGCAGCATATCTTGAAGCACAAGTGAATTTAGAGTATCAATAAGAATATTAAGACAATAACAGCATGCCAGATTTGAAAGCATAAAATGAAAATTATATTACCATAATGTGCAGGTACGAACTAGCCATTACATAATGGTGAAAATGATTTATATAGTTCATGCTTGCATACACATCAAAATTCGAGTAAGGCAAGAAAATTATTTAAACTATAACAGCAAAAGTATCATATGTTATGATAGCTTCAACAGCACAGATAATAAAACTCACCCTCATGGTGAGTGCGAGAAGTTCTTAAGCGCTGCTTCTGGAGCTTTTCCCCAGCATGCCGAAGCCACACTTTAATCACACACTCGATGTCATTTTTTTTTGTTTCCGGAAAATTTCGCCTCACGGCCTCTGAAAAAGTACAAAGTTCATAAAACAGGAATTACACAAACATAATACATTAATATAATGCTACATAGGTTGTTTGAAGAAGTACCTCTAGTCAGCATGATCGACATTTTGATAGGTGGGCACATCATCATTAAAGGTCCTTGCCATCCTTCCCCATGTTAATTTCAAGAGTACTGACATTGACACTATGTGTTGCATTACAAGAAGAACACCACGAAGAAGACATCATTGTAACTTTTTTGAAACCTAGCATGCAAAGAATGATGAGGCGCCTTTGACGAAAATACGTCCATGTATGAAAATGTTGACCAGCTTGTCTTAGGTACTTATTCCTGTTTAGAGATCCTCAGTGATCACTATGAGCTTCCATCTGTTAGTTTTCATCTGTACATAAGATTTCCACTACAGTTAAGAATGCCTAGTAGTGCTACCTGATAATAACTTCTGCAAGTAGTGAATGCTTGCGTATGTGTGCCATGCAAGTATACTAGTGTGCTTGAAGAAGCTGCAGGGTTTCTTACTGACAACAGATATTTCATGCTAAAAATTTTCCACGTTTAAGCACATAATTTTAATTAGCAAGCATCCTAAAAAATTTAATGCTTTCATGAAAAGATTGTTCTTTTGCTATTGACTTCAAATGAAAGATAATGTGGATAACAGACTTAGAAATGTCTGTACTCAAACACGGCTCTTGCAGCACATGGTGTTGTGAAACAAATTACTCACTGCAAATGACATCTGTGACACCTAGATCCACAAACTTCCTTTTGCCTTTTTGGCCTGCCCAGCTGAACTGCACAGCAACCTCAAGGCTTAGCAGAAGCTCCAGCATCCTCCTGGCTGCTGCCCCAAAGTTGAGCCACCAAGGCCAGCAAGCTGCTGTATCTGTAAAGTTTTGAGGTCATTATTTTTTTTAGAAGAGTAGCTTAATGCAGTGACTAGAAAAAAAAATTATAGAAAAATATAATGAATGACGTACAAGCTTTAGCTTAATGTTGCCATCAGCAGCAAGTCTCCCCTCAAGACTTAGAAATTGGTCAATATCCTTGACCGGTGTCAAAACCACATCATCATTTGTCTCATCTTGAAGCCTCACTGTTGTGTTGAAAAGGTGCTGCTGCATGGCATCAACCTGTCGTCCCAGCTGCTCTAGCCTCATCAGGATAGTTTGCGAAATTCGCATGAGTTGACGCACGTATTCTGTAAAGACGTGTTCATGAAGTTTGGGAAGCACACCCTGCCCTCACAGTAGACACCTTTTACGTCACATTTGGTGCAGCTGTAATAGCCTGTGTGGCTTCTGACATATAATACAAATGCCTTTGCTGGTGCATCACATATGAGGGCATACAAGCTAACAGGAATTGCAGTTTCTCCAATGGTAATCCCTGTTGTGATAGCAGCATTTATGTCACAAACAAATGGTCGCAAAAAATCATTCGCGTTGTTGGGCTTGCTGCTTCCGAAAAAAACACCCACTATAAATGGTGCTTTGTCCTCCAAATTACTTATGCGTCCCAGTATGCACCAAAATTGGCCCCGTGAACTTTTTGAAACCGGCAGACCGTCAATGTTGAAGCTAAGCTTCAAAATTCTTGGTAGTTCTGCACAATCTTGCAGCACTCGCTGTAGGCCTGCACTGAGGCCGAAATGATGGTATTTCCCGCCGGCCAGCTGCAACACTTCCAGGCACTTCTTGGGCGTCTGTAACAATGCCCTTGCAGTTGAAGGGAGCGCGCTGAAGCATTCGTGGGACTGTAGTACTCTCAAGAGCGATGTAACTGAAGTGTGCGATGCGCGAGATTGTAAGGCCCACGCTTGCAGTCTCTCACGAAAGGCCAGCAAGCTGTCCACACTGCCGCGTTCACAAACTTGCTCTTCGTTACTCCCAGTCGGTGCCAATTCGAAAGAATCCCTCTGCCTCACCTGCGAGGTCGCCGAAGTCGAAGCCGCAGCGCTGCTGTCATGGAAGGCACGCCGTTCGAAGTCTGTGTGATCGTGAGGCACAGAAACACTGCAGCCGCTGGGGTAGCACGCGTCGCCAGAAATCAAAACGTGTCCTTGGGGCACATCCGTTTCTGGAACGATCGAGGAGTGTGCCGAAGGCCGTTCTCTGTCATGAACACAAAGGCGACGATGGCCGTCTTCGAGGTCGACCGCACAAGCCTCGGAGGGCAAGTCGCTCTCTCTTTCGGCGTTGCGGGAATCTCGGTCAACGTACCGCGTGTCATTTATGACATCGGCCTCACTGTCAATAAGCTGAAAACTAGCATTGACGCGCCGATTAATTTCACGCCGAAATTTGCGATCCGCGCTCTCAGCCATCTTGAACAGCACAGAGCACAGTAGAATGGTGGCTAGACCAAAGAACACCCACCACCAGAACACGTTGTTAGGCTAGTCAGTTGGTTTGTACATACATACATGAATAAGCAGTAAAGATATACAGCGCGAGGCTGAAAATCAACTGTCCTCTCTTTTTTTATTTATTTACCTTTGCGGCTTACAACTTCAATATGAAAATTTAACAGAAGACACTCACCTGGCATGCTTACGATTCTTTGAGGGCTTCTGCGAGAAGCTTCCTCTATGGCGAGAAGTGTTGTATTGGAATGTTGACTCGACCAATGACTCGACTTGACTTACTGCAGGCCCATAATGATGATGATGATAGTTGCGTCACTTTAAAATGGGTAAACAGTGTCGTAGACATCCAGATTTAAAAGCACCTTGACTGCGCATAGTGACCGCATTAAGGTACTGCTTTTTTTTTGTTAGCACCACCACAACTTCAGTCGCCCATTCGTTTTCCCACAGCGTTCTAGTTCCAATGCTGCTCTATTCACGATAACCTAGGCCAGCCCAGTCGTCAGCATGGTCAGTTGTCGTCTGCTCGATGGGACCGTGCGGCATTGCAACACTGGACACTCGAGAATAACGTGCTCGCTATTCACAGTTTTCACGCCTGCATTCATTTTGGAGCCGACACCGTTTATACTCGCACCAAACTTGGTCTGCCGCACGTGCGTTCATTGGGGAAACGGGTCAGACCACAGTCAGTGCGATATAATTCCGTATGCACGTCGGCGGTAGATCACGACCAACGAAAACGTGCAGGCAGAAAGTTTGGCCTACGATCACTTACAAAGTAAATAAATAAATAATAAATAAAAGAACACGTCTTTCTCGTGTTGGCTTGAAGTGCTTCCTCGTGTAACTATCTCATTTTAATGATCGAGAAGTACTTTACTATTATGACTCGAAAGTAGGCATACGAAATCCCGTGGACTTATTCGTTAACAGCCAGAAAATTAACCAAACACGAATTGCGAAAGCTGCATGCACCTACGAAACATGCATATCCTCAAAACGTCCTCGAGCAGACGATATCAGGACAATTCTTCGTCCTTAAAAAGGTCTCAAAGGGGCATTTTGGGGATAATCCTGCAAGTGTCGACTAGAGGACCAAATGAGGACGTCCTGAAACTGCCGAGGACGTTTGTACCATATGAGGACGACCTCAGGTCGTCGAGTGTTGTCTGGGCTCTTTTAAATCACCGCAGTCCGCACGAAAACTTCGCTCATTTGTCGGCCTATGCTCATATTTTCGTCGCTTTGTTCCACAATTTGCGGAGATCGTGTATCCGCTGACAAACGTCTTGCGACAGGATGCAACCTTCAACTGGACACCAGAGTGTGACGCCACATTCTCACAACCTAGGTTTGTACTAACGTCAGCACTACTGTTGCATCACTTCGATCCATCTTGCCCGACTGAGGTCCACACGGACGCTAGTGGTATTGGTGTAGGCGCGGTGCTTGTACAACGTCACAATGGCGCAGAGCATGTCGTGGCATACGCCAGCCGTTGCATGAGCAAATCAAAACGCAATTACACAGAATGTCTGGCAGCTGTTTTCGCTGTACAGAAGTTTCGTTGTTATCTTTACGGGAGGCCATATAAGATAATTACCGATCACCATTCGTTCTGCTGGCTGGTCGGTTTGCGTGACCCCTCTGGGCGCCTCGCACGTTGGGCGCTGCGACTTCAGGAATACGACTTTACGGTGTCGTACAAGAGCGGCCGTCGTCACGCTGACGCAGACTGCCTCTCCCGGATTCCTCTTGCGACTACTGACTGCGATGCTGAGAATTTTGACGACTGCCTTGCTGCTGTTACAAGCACGTTCCCCAACGCGGCTGATTTCCAGAGAAAACAACGCAACGATCTCAACTTGGATCCTCTTTTTGCCGCCGCACGTGCCTCCCAACACAGCGGTCGCTTTACGGTCCGAGACAAGTTGCTCTATAAAACTAACTACTCCAGACCTGGAGCACGTTTTCTTATAGTTGTCCCCGAGAGCCTTCGCTCCGAAGTTCTACGTGCCATGCATGACGATGCGACGTCCGGTCACTTCGGCTTCATTAGAACGCTGAACCGCACGCAGGAACGCTTTTACTGGCCCAAGATGTACGAAACGACGAAGCGTTACGTCGCTAGCTGCGAGACGTGCGAACGTCACAAGCGCCCGGCCACCACTACACCAGGTCCCCTTCAGCCATTAACACTACCCAGCACCTCCACCACAACTGTAACAGCGAGCTGTGATAAGATGGTTTTATTTACAGGAGGTGAACGATGGTCGTTTGCGGCAGCACACTGCGATCGTGCCAAGACTCTTCGTCTTCCTCTGCTTCTCTTCTCTACCCTTTTCTAGTCTGTTACATTATTGTTGCAACGCCAGTGGTTGCCGAAGTGGACGCTGTACAGCACGTTCGTGCGTCATCTCTCTCTTTTTGTTCCCTCTGCGCCCCCTTTTTCGTCTTTCATGGTATAAGTTTCAGCAATCAATAAACGCTGTCTTCTGCCTTGTGACACCGACTAGTTAATGTCTCCGGTGGCATCTGTGCCGCCAACGTAACATTGGCGACGAGTTTATGCGACCCACCCAAAACACTTATGCCGACGCTAGCCCGTCGTCGCTGGCCCTTCAGCGCTGACTAGACGACAAAAGCTCTGCAACGCTGACTCAGCGTGGAACCCAGTGACGACCATAGCACGTAGGCTCTCGGAGCTCGACCAGGGAACAGATAAGTGGAATGCTTATCTTGTGAAAGTTGAAGCCTATTTTGAAGCCAATTAAGCTACCGATGAAGCTAATAAGAGGGCATTGCTGGTCGCTGCATTGGAGTCAAAGATGATAGAAGTCCTATGCGGAAGAGTGGCGCCGTGTCTGCCAAACGCTCTCAGCTACAGGGAAGTGGTAGCAACGCTGAATGACTTGATGATATCTCGGAGAGCTTCAAGTTTTTTCGCCGTAAGCAAGAGAAAGGGGAGTTTGTAAAAGCGTTTATTGTTGAAATTAGAAAGAGCGCCCAGAACTGCAATTTTTCGTTCATGTTAGACCGAGTGCTGAGAGACAGCATTGTATGTGGTGTTCACTCGAAAAGTTTGCAAAATGAGTTTCTAGCGACAAGCGACTTGACACTCGAAGAAGCAGAAACCCTTTCTTTGGCTGCGGAAAGCGCAGAAGATGGTTCGCAGCAGATCGATAAGCACACTGGTACTTCGGCGGTTTCGAACGTTAGCCAACGGCACGCGTCTGATACCATAATGAAGGAGCAAAGAAACGCTCCACGCCATTGCAAATGCTGTGGCAAGTACGGTCACAAAGCTGCTACATGCTTTCAAAAGTGCCGTCTATGCTGAAGTTCTGGTATGCAAGGGCACTTGGCTCGTATGTGTACAAGGACAGGCGGCACCAAAAAAAAGCTAGCTCTAACTGCAGAAAATAGAGGCCAAAATGACAGTGACCTTATTGCATTGCAATTCTGGTCAGTCACTGGTACTAAGCCCCTGGTTCCTCCAATGAGCAAGTTTTTACATAGAACGGTGTCACCATGAAGATGGACGTGGACACAGGTTCTCCTGGCTGCATAGTTCCTAAAGGAACGCATGAGGCACACTGCAACCGTTGGCTCCAGCTGCAAAATACCTATTTAAAGCTTTCTTGATACCTGGGCAAGGTACCTGTGTTAGGCACATTGGCAATGTAGGCAAACGAGACATATTGGAAAAGCTTTCAGCAGAAGGAACGCCCGTTCTGCACATCACTACGCCACACAGCGTGAAAAGCCCGCAGAAGGCAGCAGGAATTGGTGCTGTAATGGCCGAATATGCAGACGTATTCACGGAAGATCTTGGGTTAGTCAAGGGCCCACCAGCTCAACTTTACATCGAGGAAATGGGAGTTCTAAAATTTCGCAATGCTAGAAAGGTTCCTTTTGCGCTGCTAGATAAGGCATCTGCTGAGCTAGATAGACTAGTATAATCTGCCATAACATCTCCTGTACCATTTGCAGAATGGGCAACACCGGTATTGAAGAGCAATGGTGCTGTGCGTATTTGTGGAGATCTTATGTAGCATAAACCCTGTGTGGGAAATAGAGCGGTACTCTTTGCCAGTCATTGATGACATCTTCGCGAATTCGCGAGGTGGAGAAAAATTCAGTATCTTGGATCTCCGAGACGCTTATAACCAGATTGCATTGGACGAGGATTCGCGAAAGCTGGCTGTCATAAACACACACAAAGGGTTATTTTGCCACAACCACTTGCCTTCGATATTGCTTCAGCACTGGCAATATTCCAGAGAACGATCAAGTTCACACTACAAGGATTACCCGAGGTGCAAGCATACTTGGACGATGTTTGGATTGCGGATACTGCAGACAAGCCCTACGTGAAGCTTCGACAGGTTTTGGAGCGAGAGAACACGGCTAAACCTCGCGCCGACAAGTGCCGGATAAACGAGGCCTCGGTGGTTTATTTAGGTCACCAAATCGACGCCGCAGGGTAGCACCAGACAGAAAAAAACGTGGAGGCCGTCAGATATGCTCCCGCTCCTCAGAATATGACAGAGCTGCGATCATTTTTGGGAATGCTAACGTTTTACAACAAGTTCTTCCTGAACCTGTCGACTCTACTGGCACCACTGTACTGACTTTTGTGGAAAAAAAACAGATACCACGTACAGTGGGAATCGATGATATGCGAAGCACTAATGAGAAATGTTGATATGTCACTATTAAAATCAGCACAACGTTGCGAGGTGGAAGTGAATGATGCCGTACATGACTTCCGTGTCATGATTATCATGTTTGAATGTGTCGTTTATCTTCGTCATCTATTCACGTCACGTGATACCAAGTTTAGTATGCATGGAGCTAGCGAAACGGCCGTGAGCATGCTATGAGCGTGGTATGTTGTCAAGTTCTTACATGACGCGCGTGTCAGAATTATCATGTTTGCACCAGTCATACACTTTTGTCATCCATTGACGTCACGTAACACCAATATTGGTATATGTGGAGCTAGCAAAACGGCCGTAAGCGCATCATGAAGGACCCAATATACTACACTGTACCGTTGACGCGTGCGCATGCTGGGCACAGCGACGCTACTTCAGCCAAACGCGAGCACTCCATCGTCTTGACGCCCGGCGCGACCAGTGACCGTCGGCGCGGCCAAATGTT